TGAAGCAGCTAGCCCAAAGTGACCCAATAGCCAGCTGCAGCCAGGGCTTGTGGTTCTGTTTGCTTCCTCCAGGCGCAATGTGTAGTAATACCAGGGGACTATGGGTCCTCTTACAGAGCGGAGCTGCTGGCATGCGCACTCACTGGAGGCGGTGGAACCTCAGCCCTGCCCTCTAGTTTCACTGGCTGTCCTGGGTTCCTGTCCTGGGTCAGTCTGATCCCAAATCCTCGTTCTCTCCATCCAGCCCTTCAAATTCCTCTTCCCTGGGCCAAGCCCAGTAGTTACCCTTTCTCAAAATCTGGCAATATCCAATCTGAGGGGACCTCAGCATCCTACCAAGCCCCTGGTTCTTGGTTTGGAGCTCAGATTCCTAGGAGTCTGAAAACAGTGCAGTATAAAAGAGTTTAGCATTTTTTTCAAGAGTCTCTCCAGCATTTTTAAAAATCATGTTTCCCCCTAATTACAAAGTAACATATACTTAGTAAGGAAAACGTGTGAAAGGCAGAAGGCAGGTGTCCGGGAATGTTTTGAAATCACCCAGCTTGTCCCAGCCATGCCTGTGGCCGCAGGCATTCCATGCTGGCACAGACTAAGTCTGTAACACCTACTTGCGAACAGAATGATCTTCATTCTCATCACCTGGAGATACAAACCGCAGCTAATTTTTGTTTTAGTATTTGAGAGATAATGTTTTCACTACAAACCTGGAATAATATGTGTATGGTTCAATTGAATGGCTTCCCCACCCCCCACCAATATACAGTAAATCTTAAAGCAATCACGAATTATTAAAACTGTAGTAGAAAAATACTCTTTTTTAAAAAAGATTTACTTGATTTAAAGTAGAGTTGCACAAAGAGTAAAGAGAGAAAGTTCTATCCACTGGCTCACTCCCCAAATGGTCACAAGGGCAGGAGTTGAGCTAATCTGAAGCCAGAGCCAGAAGCTTCTTCCAGGTCTCCCATTTGGGTGAGCAGTCCAAGGCTTTGGGAACCATTCTCTGCTGCTTTCCCAGGTCATAAGCAGGGAGCTGGGTTGGAAATGGAGTATCTGGGACATGAACTGGTACCCATAAGGGATGCTGGTGCCACAGACAAGGAATTATCCTGACACATGGCAGCCCCATAGAATAATGTTATTAATAACTGATTTGACAAGGTGTAAAACAAAACTCAGAAAACTATTTGCAGCAATACTGACGCACATAGGCATTTCTTTGTTTTGTTTTCTTTTAAATCATTAGCTCCCACATATAAGGGAGAACACATGCAATATTTGTCTTTCTGTGTACGCTTATTTATCCCAACGTGACGTTCTCTAGTTGGATCCATGTTGCTGCAAGTGGTAGAACGTCATTCTTTTGTAGAGTTGAATAATATTCCATAAGGTGTGTGTACACACACAGAGTTGTGAACAGTGCTGCTTTAAATATGGTGATGCAGTTGTCTCCTTGATTAGTTCTGTTCAAGTCTTCTGGGCATATACCCCGGAGTGGAATTCCTGAGTCATATGGCAAGTCCCTTTCTAATTTCTCAAAATTGCTACACTGTTTCCCATGGTGACTGTGCTAATTGACATTTCCAGCAACAATGTATCAGCGATCCCCTTTCCCCACACCCCTGTCAGCAGGGATCTCTGTCTTGGATGGTAGGCATTCTTGCAGGAATGAGGCGATGTCTCACTGTGGTTTTGATTGCATATCTCTGGTGGCTAGTGATGCTGAGCATTTTTTTTCCCCATGTATTTATTGGCCATTTGTATTTCTTCTTTTGAGAACTGTCTGTTGAGGTCCTTTGCCTATTTTTAAACTGTACTGCTTTTAAAAAAAGATTTATTTATTTTAATTGCAAAATTAGATATACAGAGAGGAAGATCTGTCCAATGATTCACTCCCCAAGTAACTGCTACAGCTGGAGCTGCACCGAACTGAAGCCAGGAGCCAGGAACTTCCTCTAGGTCTCCTAATGCAGGTGCAGGGTCCCAAGGCTTTGGGGCATCCTCGACTGCTTTCCCAGGCCACAAGCAGGGAGCTGGATAGGAAGCAGGGCTGTTGAGATTAGAAGCAGCGTCTATATGAGATCCTGGTGTGTTCGAGACAAGGACTTTAGCTGCTAGGCCACTGCGCCGGGCTCAACTGGTTATTTTTTGTTGTTGTCATTGTTGAGTTTTTAAAACTGCTGATATATTTTGGATATTTATCCTTTGTCAGATAGATAACTTGCAAATAGCTTTTCCCAATCTGTTGAATGTCTCCTGACTTTATTCATCATTTCCTTTGCTGTGCAGAAGCTTCTGAGTTTGGTATAATCCAGTGTGTTTAGTTTTGCTTTTGTTGTCTGTGCTTTGGAGGTCTTGTGCAAGAAGTTGTGTCTTGCTGTGTTATCCCTACGTTTTCTTTTCTTTTTTTTTTTATTTCTTTTTTTTTAATTTTGGCAATCTTTACATAGCTGATTAGGGCACAAAAAGTCAAGGGCTACAGAAAAGTGGGTAAGACCATTGTTTCCAGATTAATATTATTTTTCTTCTGTATCTGGGGTAAGGGAAGAGATAAAGGGGAAAGCCCCACCCAGCCTCCCACCCATCCCAGGTCCCCGATGTGTAGCCCTACATTTTCTTCCAGCAACTTAATGGTGTCGGGTCTTAAATTTAGATCTTTGATTCATCCTGAGTTGATTTTTGCATGTGGTGAGAGATAGGGCTCTAATTTCTTTTAAAAAATCTTTTAAAATGTATTATTATTATCATGTTATGACACAGTTCCATAGGCTCCTGGGATTTCCCTTATCCCATCCCCAATTTCCCCTCTACTTCCAGACAAAGATGGACTTACAATGAAACTGTTTACTATAGCATGACAATAGGATGCTGGACTCTGCCATTGTCCATGCCTGCAATGATGGACATATGACTGTGTATGAAGAACTAAACTTTAGTAATGATATAGAGGAACTAGGTGGGGTAGGGCTCTAATTTCACTCTTCTACATATATACATTGGTCTTGCCAGCAGCCTTTGTTGAAGGGATTACCCTGACTCCATTGTATGATCTGAGCCCTTTTGACAAACGTTAGGTCTGTACGTGGATTAACTTCTGGACTCTATTCTGTCTCACTGAATACTGCTTTTTGTATCAGAACCATGCTTTTTTGATTACCACAGTTTTGTAATATTCTTTGACGTCAGGCACTATCATGTCTCCAGCTTGGTTTTTCTTGCTCAAGAAACCACAATTAAATTTTATATAAACTTCCAACTATGTATTTATGTGTGTGTGCTTGAAAAGCAGAGCCAGAAAGAAAGGGGGGAGAGGAGAAGAGCAAGAGAGCAAGATACCTTCTACCCACCAATACTGTTTCTTTCTTTTTTTCAAAGATTTATTTATTTTTTATTGGAAAGTCAGATATACAGAGAGGAGGAAAGACAGAGAGGAAGATCTTCCATCCGATGATTCATTTCCCAAGTGATCATAATGACTGGAGTTGAGCCAACCCAAAGCCAGGATCTTCTGGGTGTCTGACGCGGGTGCAGGGTCCCAAGGCTTTGAGTCATCCTCGACTGCTTTCCCAGGCCACAAGCAGGGAGCTGGATAGGAAGCAGGGTTGCTGGGATTAGAAGCAGTGTCCATGTGGGATCCCGGCACGTTCAAGGTGAGGACTTTGGCGGCTAGGCCATCATGCCGGACCCCACGAATACTGTTTCTAAAAAGCTACAAAAGCCAGGACTTGGCCAGGCTGAAGCCAAGAACTGGGAATCCAACTCAGATCTCCTGTGTGTCAGCAACCCAAGTAGTCGAACCATTAGCTGCTGCCTCCCAAGGTGTCAATGCGCAGGAAGCTGGAATCAGGTGCAGCCAGGACGGAAGCCCAGGCATCTGGCTGTGAGATGCAGGTACACTGCTAGGGCAGATCCTGTCCCACAGCACGGACACTGCTCCTTCACATGGCTGTGCTGTACTTTTCCTAACCAGTTCTCTTATCCCTGAGCATGCAGGTGGTTTCGTTTTCTGTCGTTACAAACATGTTGTTCCAGACAGTCTAGCACATTTATTTTTTGTCTACAAATCTATTTAGAATATATTCCTAGAATTGGATCACAGGGCCAAAAGAGTAAGCAGGCATGTTTTTAAGATTTCTGATACAAACTTTTAACACAACATTGCCTATTTACCTTCATGGCTATGCCAGTTCTTCAAAAAATCCTAAGAAGACCCCGGCATCGTAGCCTAGTGTCTAAAGTTCTTGCCTTGCATGTGCTGGGTGCTGGTTTATATCTTGTTGCCCCCTCTTTCCTTCCAGCTCCCTCCTGGGAAAGCAGTCGAGAATGGCCTAAGGCCTTGGGACCCTGAACCCACGTCAGAGACCCAGAGGAAGCTCCTGGCTTCAAAACAGCCTAGCTTCGGCTGTTGTGGCTACTTGGGGAGTGAATCAGTAGACGGAAGATTTTCCTCTCTGTCTCTCCTCTTGTCTGTATATCTGATTTTCAAATAAATAAATACATCTTTAAAACAAAAACAAAAATAAAAAGCCTAAGAAAGAAAATGCCAGTGTATTTTATTATATAAACCATTTTTTAAAACTTTATGTTTTTGAGAGTTAGGGGCAGAGTCAGGCAGTGGTCTGCCATCTCCTTAAATGCCTTCAGTATGCAGGGCTGAGCTAGGTGGAAGTCAGAAGCCAGAAAGCCAACTGTGGTCTCCATGTGGTAACAGGGACCCATGTGCTAAGCCTGCACCTGTTGCCTGCAGGGTGCATGAGCTGGAAGAGGAGGCAGGACAGAGACATAATGTGAGTCCCTCGCATAACTGCTGCATCGAAACACAAGGCCAAAAGGTTCTGGTTTAGCTTTGATCATGCACACACAGACCAACTGGAAGCTTTTGCTTCTGGCCAACATTTCAGCAAATCCAAATCATGCACGTTAAATTATGGACACTTGCCGAGCAGAAGCTAGTTGAAAATCAGGTTTGGAGCCAGAAATGGAATAAGAAAGTTAGTTAATAACTTAAAAACCTATAACCTGTTGATCAGAGGCAGGAAAGCATCTTGGACCATGAGCCCAGGACAGTGTGTGCCGTGATCACTCCCTTACCCTGCACCTGCAGCGCCGCCCTTGTGGTGGGGCAGCGAGGGACGGCGCGGTCGGCCTGGCCGCCGCGCATGCTCCGTCCTGCGCACTCCCCTTGCCGGTCCCGCCCCCGCCCGCGAGCGGTTAGGTTTTGAATCTAGCTGGCAGTGGCCGGAAGTGGCGGCTCTCCGGGCCGGCATGGAGTCCCCCGGTCCCGGCGCGAGGTGCCCGCTGCAAGAGCAGCGAGCCCGGTGGGAGCGGAAGCGCGCCCGTACTGCCCGAGAGCTGCTGGAGACCGAGCGGCGCTACCAGGAGCAGCTGGGGCTGGTGGCCACGGTGCGGGCCGGCGCGTTCTCTGCCCGTGTGGGCGAGGGATCCCCGGCTGTGTGAGAGGTGGGGACCCTACGAGTGCGGCCGACCAAGACACCTGCTTTCCTTTACTCGCAGTACTTCCTGGGGATCCTGAAGGCCAAAGGGACCCTGCGACCCCCGGAGCGCCAGGCCCTCTTTGGGCCCTGGGAGCCCATCTACGGCGCTAGCCAGTGAGTAGAGGGCGCGCCGGCCGAGGAATGGAGGAATCCTGCCTCCTGGCCGTGCGTGCAGCCCCGAGGGTTCTCAGTCTGTGGTGGCGTTGGGCCCCTTGCCTCACCTGCCTCGACCTGCCCCGGTTGCCCATTTGCCAGAGGGCATAGCAGCCAGTGCCGCCTCCGGGGCAGGATTAGAGAATTCAGTGAGGGGGTGCTTACGTGGTTCTTGAGCTCCACGCTCATCCTTGCCCACACAGAGAGCTGCTTCCTTACCTGGAAGAAGGACGGTGGGGACAGGGCCTCGAGGGCTTCTGCCCCCACCTGGAGCTCTACGCCCAGTTTGCTGCCAACGCCGACAGGTCCCGAGCCACCCTGCAGGTAACCTTAGCGAGGACCTCAACTCCATCCCCCTAGGGACGCTGTATTCACTGGGTGTCCTGGGCTCCCAGCTCCGTGCTATGCTCCCTGTGGAGAGGCATACTGCCTGTATTGAGTACCAGGAGTGGCTTTTTACCCCCACTTCCTCCCCAGGAGCAGCTCAAGAAAAGCAAACGCTTCCGGAGGTTTGTGAGGTTGCAGGAAGGCCGCCCTGAGTTTGGTGGTCTTCAGCTCCAAGACCTCCTCCCCCTTCCCCTGCAGCGGCTCCAACAGTAAGTTCACATGCCTTAACAAGCCCTCACTCCCCAAGATGGATCTGTCTGAACTGCTGCCTGTCAACTTTTGGAAAACTTTTTTGCAAAGTTAAAAAATGAGCCCACCGAGGTTCTGCAGCCTGAGGACCTGGCTGGAGCTGTGGAACTATACCTATAAGTGAGGGGAGTTGGGCTGGGGCCTAGCATGAAGCACGTGGGGAATGGATGAAGGAGCAGCCCAGCTTAGCGTGGTTCTTCCTGGGGATGTTAGGGTCTCCTGTGCTGCCTTGAGTATCCTCCTTGGGTTAAGCATTTCTCATCTGGCTTCCTGAGCTACAGTCAGGGTGCACCTCAGTAGTGTGGGGTGGTGGGTGATGGGCTATAGGGGTGAGTCAGGCCAGCCGGTTCCCGAGTCCTGGCAGAAAGGGGTAAGAGCCACTGGCCAGCAGCAGTAGCTTTCCCTGGCCTTACCTCTGGGGTTATGTGTAGGGAGTGCTCAGTGAATCAGGCAGGATCTGCTGACCATCATGCATCCTCTATTGTTTGATTCCAGGTATGAAAGTCTCGTAGTTGCTTTGGCAGAAAACACGAGTCCTCACAGCCCCGACCACCAGCAGCTCACGCGTAGGTTCTTGCTGCCCTGCAGCTTGGAGGGAGGTGGGGAGCTGCCCTCCCCTGATTCTGCTGTGTAGCCATGTGTGCACGTGTGTGAATGCCATGCCCCATGTCAGTGTTCTATTGCCCTGCCCTTGCTTGGAGAAGCTACACCCTGACCCTGGTCCCCTGCGGAACAGCCTTTCACCACTATCAGTCATCCTGAAGTCATGCCGTAGTGAGCCACTGGGGATGTCATTACAGGGGCTGCTCGGCTGGTGAGTGACACTGCCCAGAGAGTTCAGGCCATCGGGCAGAGACAGAAGAATGAGCAGCACCTGCGGCGTGTCCAGGCCCTGCTTGGTGGGCGCCAGGCCAAGGGCCTCACCTCAGGTAGCTATGGGCTTGCTCCTCTGTTCTCAGGTCTTCCTCTTCCAGCCCACTCACAGCCCCATGGAACGCCCCACCTGCTGTGCATCCCCCAGGATCCCCCCTTCCCTCTCCCTGTCCACCCTCCAGGACGCTGGTTCCTGCGCCAGGGCTGGCTGTTGGTGGTGCCTCCGCGGGGGGAGCCTCGGCCCCGCATGTGCTTCCTCTTCTCTGATGTGCTCCTCATGGCCAAACCGCGCCCCGTGTTGCACCTGCTGCAGAGTGGCACTTTTGCCTGCAGAGCCGTCTACCCCATGGCCCAGTGTGAGCTCAGCAGGGTCTTTGGCCACTCCGGAGGTCCCTGTGGTGGACTGCTCAGTGTAAGTTATAGTGAGGGGAACCTTGGGCCTATACTCAGTCTCAAGTGTGAATGACTGCTTGGCCTCCGGGGACTGGGTCCCTTTTCATCAGACTGGAGCTGCCTACATGGAGAGTGCTGGCTACAGGGCTGGGGGCGGGGTTACATATTCTCATTTCACCCTAAGCTCCATGGAGACACCAAGGGCCTTTGCTCTTGCCTGAATTTCCTGAGCCAGGTACTAACAAGTGGTTTCTCCCCAGCTGTCCTTCCCCCACGAGAAACTACTACTCATGTCCACAGATCAGGAAGAGCTGGCCCGCTGGTACCACAGCCTGACTCTGGCCATCAGGTATATCACATCTTCCCTTGGGAAGAGGGCTATGGTCAGTTCTGACCTGACTCTGGTCCCCCACCCACAATGCTGCCTGTGAGTTGTCCTGAACAGCGTCTTCTTGCCACAGCAGCCAAAAGAATTAGCGGCAATGGACCGGGCCTTAGAATACTTCAGGGACTGGATCAGGGCCAGGAGTACCACGTGATCGTCAGCACTGCACAACACACAGACCTCTTCGTGGTTTCCTGGGTCTGAGCTACTTTGGGACTGGACTACTCTGGGTCCTCTGGTCAGTGCTTCTGAACCAAGAGCCCAGGTCTGACCAAGCGAACTTCCACTGAGGTTCCACCATGGACCATGGGACTTGGCATTGATATGCTTGGTGCTACATCTGTGGCCAGCTGTTTATTAAGGTCACAGCTTTGTATACATGACTGTTTTATAGTATAAATCGTTTCTATAATTTATTTTCTCAAGTGTTAATAAAGTTTTCTCTGGGAGGGGAAGGCCTTTGTGTCTCTGTTGCTGACACACCTGGGAGTTTTGTGCTCTGGAGGCTGGCTCGCCTAAGTGAAAAGATCTGGAGCTCCCTCTGTCGGCTCTGCTTCCCGCTGGAAGGGGGCCGCTCTCTGCCCGAATAAGGGAAGCTTTTCCAGAAGGGCCTCTTGTCCTTGGGCACCTCACACAAGTGCATGTACAGTAGGCTATGCTGGGAAAAGCACGCAGGGGCCTCTGGTCACAAGAACAGTCTGTGTTTTAACAAACCTTCGGTGCCCGCCCTTTCAGGCTGCAACCTGGCTGCGTCGTCTTCTTAGCCCCTGTGCCACTTCCTGGGGGGTAGCTAGGCTCCATGTGTTGCTGCTCCAGGTTGTAGGGTCCTCCAACACCTGACTGTCACCTGCTTCCTCCTGGTCTTCTGCTACATTCAAATCCTCGGGAGAGGGAATGCCAGCCTCTTGGGGTGAAGGAGTGGGGGAACAAAGAGTGAGTGTGCTGCAGTTTCATATATTTCTGTTTCTATGCCCACCGCACTCAACATTCACCTCCCAACCCTGTACCTGGCTCCAGGGGTGTCCCCCGCTCCTCCGCCTGCTTCTCCCGCAGCAGCTGCTGGAAGGTTCGTAGCTTCGTGTTTAGCAGTTCCTGCTGGGCTCCTGCCAGAGTGGTCACCCTGCAGAAATGTCCACTCAAGGTCTGCCCTGTGGATGTCCCCACTCCCCATCTGCCACAGGGCTACCGCTGTCCTTACCTCTCAAAAAGAGGGTCCAGCTGGGCCATCAGGCTATTCAGGTGCTGCTCTGTCTGATCCAGCTGCTGGGTCAACTGGGCCAGCTGTTGCTCTAGACAGGAAAAGGGGGCAACAGATACTTAATTTCTGCTTTTCCCTAGTCTTCCCCGCCAGGCCCAGCCTTCTGGTAAACCCACCTGACTGTCTTGCCGCCTTCTTGCCTGCCTCTTCTTGGAGCACAGCGGCCTCTTCCTTCCTCTATGGAGGGAGAAGCAAAGGGCAGTTCTGGTGCGACAAGCCTCTGGCTGGTCACCTGGGCCCCCGGGGCAGTAGGGAGAGGAGCATCCTTGGATGTGGAAGAGCCATGGGGGAAGTCCTTTCAAAGGAGCACAGTTCTTACAAATGGAGCCTGTTACCCAGGACACGAAGCCTAAGGAGAGTAGTTCACCCAGTCTGTTCAAACCTCCCAACACGGGCAGCTCAGCAGTCAAACACAAAGCCATTGGTGCAAGTGCCTTTTACCCAGCATGCTTAGGGGTGCGGTCTCAATCATGTGTCTTTTCCAGGAATGTGGAGATGGCAATCACACCTCTACTCGGTTTAACGGCTTCAGTTTTCTCTCTTCTTTTAAAAGATCTTTACCCAAAAGGGAAAGTCACAGATAGAGAAGGTGGGGGAGGGAGACAGAAAGATAGATCTTCCATTTGCTGGTTCACTCACCAACTAATGGTAATAGCTACAATGACTAGGGATAAACTGATCTGAAGCCAGGAATCAGGAGCTTCCTCCGGGTCTCCCATTCGGGTGCAGGGTCCCAAGGCTTTGGGATAGCCTTTGCTATTTTCCCAGGTCATAAGCAGGGAGTTGAATGGGAAGTGGAGCAACTGGGACTCAAACTGGTGCCCATATGGGATGCCACAGCGCCAGCCTTTTTTTCAGTTAGTACTCATTTCACACAATCTCTGGTTGCCTGACTAAGCATGTAGTATTCCTTAAAGAATCAAATTCTTGGAGCCAGCATTTTGGGTAGTGGATTAAGCCACCTACCTGCAATGCCACTATCCCATATGGGTGTCCAGTACACTAGCTGTCTCACTTCTTTTTCTTCTTATTTTTTTAAAGATTTGTTTTTGTTGGAAAGGGTAACCCATACAGAGAAGGAGGAGAGATAGAAATATCTTACATCTGCTGGATCACTCCCCAAGTGGCTGCCAATGGCCAGAGATGAGCTGATCCAAAGCAAGGAGCCAGGAGTTTCTTCCAGGTCTCTCATGCGGGTTCAGGGTCCCAAGGCTTTGGGCCATCCACAACTGCTTTCCCAGACTAGAAGCAGGGAGTTGGATGGGAAGTGGAGCAACCAGGAACCAGGACACGAACCAGCGCCCATATGGGATGCTGGTGCTTGCAAGGCAAGGATTTAGCCACTGGGCCACTGTGCTAGGCCCTGCCTCACTTCTGACCCAGCTCCTAAACATGCCTGGGAAAGCAGTGGAAGATAGCCTTGCGCCCATGGTGGGAGACCCAGAAGCAGCTCTCTTGCCCTGACTACTGCGTGGATCAGCAGCAATTGGGAAGTGAACCAGTGCATGAAGATTCTCGGTCTCTCCTCCTGTCTAAACTTTGCTTTTCAAAAGAGAAAAAGGATTAGAATTTCCAGGAATGGTCTAGGTAGCAGATAAAAGTGCAACACCCTGTTTGTGGCACTGATCTGGGCTGGGTGGTCCCACATCACGCGATGAACCTGCTCTTTTACTGGGATGCCTGCATCTCTTTTCCACTGGCGTGCTGTTAAAATCATGTTTCTGCCAACCCAGCAATTAGAACCACCAGCTGATTGGAGCGATGGACGGTGCCAGGCCCTGCACTTGTTAGCACATACAAGAAGTTTCTTTGGAGATCTTCCTAATCTAAATGCTGGACTCAGAACCCTAATGAAGAAAACAGAGAAGATAGAACGGGTCAACCAACCATCTCAGCTATGATGGACTATGTCAATCAGTGGATTTTTCAAAGACCTCATAGTGCTTGGAGTGGCAAGACTGACAGCGATTCATAACTGTTGCAATATCAAAACCACTTGAGCAAGAACCTCAGAGCATGTCCTACACCCCGGACTTGGGGAGGGTGGGAAATTGGGTGGGCCTTCTCCCTTAATACCCCCCTTTTAAACATGAAGGTAACAATATGGAAAACATACTAGTATTATCCACTTTCCTGTAGCCCTTGAACCTTCTTACTCTAACTAAGTATGTAAAGAATGTCAAAATAAATGTTATTAATAAAAAATTAAAATAAAATAAAATAAAATCATGTTTCTGGGGCCCGGCGCGGTGGCGCAGTGGTTAAAGGTCCTCGCCTTGCAGGCCCGGGATCCCATATGGGCGCCGGTTCTAATCCCGGCAGCCCCGCTTCCCTTCCAGCTCCCTGCCTGTGGCCCGGGAAAGCAGTCGAGGACAGCCCAAAGCTTTGGGACCCTGCACCCGCGTGGGAGACCCAGAAGAGTCTCCTGGCTTCGGATCGGCATAGTATCGGCCGTTGCGCTCACTTGGGGAGTGAATCATCGGACGGAAGATCTTCCTCTCTGTCTCTCCTCTCTGTATATCCGCCTTTCCAATAAAAAAATAATAATAGTAATAAAAAAATAAATCTTTAAAAAAAAATCATGTTTCTCCCAGCTGTACCTGGATCCTAGCACAGAATGCATCCCTCTCTCCTTGTTACAAACCTACCACCAAACTCAGTCCTTCCTGCTCGCCCAGCAAGCTCTTTCTTCCAGTTCTGTATTATGTCCAAATGGGTTCAGCCTTTCATTTCCTAATGCAAGTGAAGCCTTGGGGGGAACTCATTTGCACTTCAGCAGTTTCCAGCCACCAAAATATATGGTCACTTTTTTTTCAGAGCCTCCTGCCCAAGGAGAACATAAGATTGTTGGATGTTGCGAACTCTAGAAACACTGCCATGCCTGCAACCAGCCGCTTCTGCCAAGGTTGCAGCCACATGGCCGATACACGGGTTCAAGTCCCAGCTCCACCAGTTACTAGCTCTGAATGGCAAGTGAGCAGCGGGGAGGTCAATAATTATTTTCAAACTCACCATGTGCCCCTGACACTCTTACCTCGAGGGACCCCTCAAATAACCTCACAACGTTGGAAAGCCAAGGTTGACACAAGTGTGTTGTTCTTGGTACCGTAGCACCCCCACGGGAAGGTTCCGGCCCAGGACACACCCCCACCCTCCCACCGTTTGACCCTCGGCACCTGCAAACACTTGTACAGCACAAAAGCCACGACGGCCGCGGTGTAGAGCGCCCCCCAGGGCAGCGCCTCGGCTCGGGGCCGCTCGCGCTGCTCCCTGGCCGACGGTCGCCGCCGAGTCTCCGTGGCCCCTGCGGAGGGAAGGGCAGGCGCAGGTCAGCATGGCTGGGGCTGGCGGGCAGGCTCAGCCGCTCTGCAGCTGCCCTCGCCGGTACCTGCGTGTGCCCGGTGGTCGGCGCCGGGGCGCTCTCCGAGGACCCCCGCCAGCGCCGACACAAACAGCAACCCTAGCAAACCCGGGAGCGACACCGCGCCGGCCATTGTCACCACTCAGAGGCAGCCTGTCCGCCGAGCCGGCCCTACCCGGCTGCCCCAGTGCGCACGCGCGGGCGCGCACGCACCGCCCCGGGCTTCCTCAGGAAGCCACGCCCATTCCATAGGGGGCCGGCGCTAAGGCATATTTGCATAAAGAGGCGTCAGTCTGGATTTGCTAAATGAACTCCCTTATTTGGTATTTTATTAACCAACAATACATTAGAAACTTATAATCTTAAAAATGACGTCTAAAAGCATGACTTTTTAAAGACATGGCACGACTCCAGGTTACTCACCCTAATCGTTAAAAGAAAAGATTATCCGTCCTATAAATCGGACATGCCTGCAGCACAAGGCAGTTCGCGCTGAAGGCCTGTTTCCTAGGCTACATACGGGGACTTGTTCCTCACCCTTCCGCCTAGGGGAAAGTCCCCGGACCTCCGGCAGAGAGTGCCGCGTGCGCATGCACGTAGACCCACCCCGCGTCCCACGGTTAGTCCGCCAAGAAGCGCCCTTCCGCGGCAGGGGGCCGAGCGGCGTGGTGCGGGGTGTCTTCCGTCACGCTCACAGTCACGCAGGCAGCGCGCCCCGCGCGCCAACCACACGGGGCTCATTCTCAGTGCGCACTATTTTACCCGTATCCTGGGCTGGGTAACCGAGTGCTTGACCCACAGAACCCTCTCCAATCTTGTTTTGGCAGCTTTACCGTCCAGTCTTTTGCCCAGACCTTTGTTATTATGTAAGGATTTATTTGAAAGGCAAAGTAACATAGATCTTCCATCAACTGCTTCGCTCACCAAATACTGGACTTGGCCAGGCTGACTCCAGGAGCCAGGAACTCCGTCCCCAGGTCTTCCATTGGTAGTGGCCTGAATGCTTAACTTGGATCATGGTCTGATGCTTTTTCAGGCGCCTAACAGGAAGACGGAGCAGAAGTAGAGTGGCCGGGACTGAAATCAGCATCCCAGTAAGCCAGGCACCCCGCCCCGTCAGCATCTTTTAATTGTCTGGGATACAAAGCGCAGTCTCTCCATGACACCATGCGTTCTCTGAGGAAATAAACCAGGTCCCCCTCACACTGCTGTCTTCAGAGCTTGGCTCACAAGCAGGAGGTCCATGTGTGTTCAGTGAATGGATACAATAGCGGGGTGCGTTCTTGTTTCCAAGCGAGACAGACAGGCAGAACCACTCTGGTCCCGCCGCCTTAGGGGAGGCAGGCTGGGTAAGCAGAACATAGTAGCATTTGGCACAGTGGGTGGGAAGAGCTGTTCTGGCCACTTACAATGGAAGAAGTGTCCCCCACTGCTTGTTGCCAGTAGGACGTTTACGCCCTCCACTGTGTGATCTTAATTCTTTCCTATGGAGAGTTCATAGCTTCCAAAGAGTGAGCATTTTTTGCAAATCTGGGAATCAATGGCATGTTTAGGGTATTTGACACTCCTAAGGACCACTTTGTCACATTTTTATCTATTTGAAAGACCCTCCATCTGCTGGTTCATTCCTCAGATGCCTGCAGCCAGACCAAAGCTTGGAACTCGATCTGGATGTCCCGAGTAGGCAGCTGGAACCCGGTCCCCGGGGCTTGCGGGGCTGCAGTCAGCTGGGGCCAGGAGTCAAACCAGCTTCCCAGGTGGCTCAACAAGCTAGTCTAATGCCTGTGCCCTGAATCTCTTTTGAAAAACTTTCCTCTGTATGACAATATTATTTCTTTTAAATAATAATCATGAATGAAATTAAAAGGACCAGAAAAGAATCTCAATGAATATTCTTTTGTTAAATTTGGCAGATATATCATGGCTGATTTACATTATTGTATTTTCTGAGAAAAGGTACAGCAAATTATACTTACATATTTCTGAGTGACAGCTCAATATGTATTCAATCTTTTTTCTTTTTGTCCTTAACTTCTGAAAATATGTCAGAAGTAATTTTGAAATGATCATATTTAATAGGAAGTACAACCAAATTTGTCAAGCCATACTCATTATTGATGAAAGAATATTTTATTAAATTTCATTTCAAAATATTTTTTCTCGTGAAATAACAGATAAAAAAGTAACAGGAAAAGCCTTAAGCATAAGGATAAGCTCAGCAAAGGTTCATAAAAATTTCATTCTACAATAAGTTCCAAACAATTAAAATAAAAACTCCAAGAATTCACCTAGAATGATAGAATTAAAGTTAACTCCAGCGCAGCTTTGTTCAATCGGCAATCACTGTCCTGTCATCATTAATTTTAAACTTTTTGGTTCAAAGCTGAACTATGTACTTACCAGCAACCACAGCAATTCAGATCAACAAATATTTTCAGAGAATATCTTGTCACTGACAGTTTTTTAAAGAATTGATGACCTCCCCCCCCAAAAAATTAGATCAGATAGAGACCAATAAGGAAAGCTTAGAATCAGACAGGAAATGGTCAGCTTGGACTCACATATACCTTACTAGGTAGGACACAAAGATTAGTTACTCCTCACTAAAGTATTGAAGATTTCTCTGCACACCCCTCCTAAAACTGTTCTGCACCTAAATTGTTAACATATGCCTTGTTAGAGTTATAAGCCGGTTTGGACTGTCCTAAAATTCACCAAGTTCAGTAAAAATTATGCTTCAATACTATAAACTGCTAAATATAAAAATGAAAATAGAAGCGAGACAGCTGAATAGTACCCTATAACCATTCTAAGGTGTATAGCAGGCAGTTGTGTATAAACTAAAATTGAAAAGTCAATTAAGTAGTCATAGGATGTGGTTAAGAACTTGCATTTTCTAACATATTGGTCACTCAATACCATGTCTGTTAACTCCATAATGTTGAAAATTGTTGTTGATGTCATGTTGTGGCTTTTCATTGGAAGGGATGATATTCTGCCAGCTCTACTTTCAGACCAGGGATGGTCTCCCCAAGAAACTGTTGAATTTATCTGGACAATAAGATGCTGGACTTTATGCATGGTACGTACTTGCAATGAAGGAATCATGATTGGATTTGATCTGTACTACTGCAATAATGTGGAGGAATCTAGTATGGGAGGAGGGCATGGGGAGGGGTTGGCAGAATCCCAGAGCTGTGTCATAAAACGAAATTAAAAAAGAAAAAAAAAAAAGAAATGATGCCACATGGTGATTATAGAAAAGAGTCACGCATAGTTGATTTTAATTTCAAAATTCTCTACTCACAAGGCGCCCCCTATGGTCTGTAGTGGATGGGGCACATAAATCCAACATTTTTTTTTTTTAAGATTTATTTATTTTTATTGGAAAGTCAGATATACAGAGAGGAGGAGGAACAGAGAAAGATCTTCGAAGCTGTGACGATCCAAAGCCAGAAACCAGGAATTTCTTTGGGGTCTGCCACATAGGTGCAGGTTCCTAGGCTTTGGGCTGTCCTCAACTGCTTTCCCAGGCTACAATCAGGGAAATGGATGGGAAGCAGGGCCACCCGACCTAGAACCAGCACCGATATGGGACTCCGGAGCATGCAAGTTGAGGACTTTAGGCACTAGACTACGGCACCTGATCTCAATCCAACACATTTAAACTTGTTTTAAGGGCCCAAGCGGTAGCCTAGCAGTTAAAGTCCTTGCCTTGCACATGCTGGGATCCCATAAGGATGCCGGTTCATGTCCAGCTCTCTTCCTGTGGCCTGGGGAAAGCAGTAGAGGATGACCCAAAGACTTAGGACACCTGGAAGAAGCTCCTGGCTCCTGGCTTAGGACTGGCTTAGCTTTGGCCATTGGGGGCCACTTGGGGAGTAAATCAGCACACAGAAGATCTTTCTCTCTGTCTCTCCTCCTCTCTGTATATCTGACTTTGTAATAAAAATAAATAAATCTTAAAAAATAAATTTATTTTAAAACTATTTATTTAATGTATTTATTTTGATTTGCAAAGGCAGATTTACAAAAAGAAAAAGAAAGATCTTCCATTCCCTAGAAATGGCTGCAATGGCCAGAGCTGAGCTGATCTGAACCAGGGCCAGGAGCTTCTTCTGGGTCTCCCATGTGGGTGCAGGGGCCCAAGGATCTGAACCATCCTCCATAGCTTTTCTAGGCCACATAGAAGCAGGGAGTTGAATGGGAAATGGAGCAGCCAGAACATGAACCTGTGCTCTTATGAGATGGTGGTCCTTGTAGGTGAAGGATTAGCTTGTGTGTCATCATGCCTGCCCCTGTAGCTCTATTTTGAAAGCCAGAGAGAGAGAGAGAGAGAGAGAGAGAGAGAGAGAGATCTGTCATCTGCTCATTCCCAGGAGCCAGAAGCTTCCTCTGGGTCTCCCACCTGGCCATCTTCCATGCTTTCCCAAGTGCACTAGCAGGGAGCTGGATGGGAAGTGGGACAGTCACTGGTGTCACAGGCTATGGTTTTACTTGCTAAAGCACAAGGCCAGCCCCCAGATTTAAATTTTCAAAAAACATCAAGGCCAGACAAAACACATCTCTAAACTCTGATTAAAGGTATGTGTTGGGAGTTTCAAATCCCGCTTCCCACATCAATTGGCCTCTCACGTTCTTGAGCTGTTTCTGGCAGCGCAAGAACTCACACCAGCTGGCTTCTTAGCCTGTTGCCAGAGCAGAGATTCCTTGAATGCAATTTACTAGTGAGACTGAGGGTGCTTAGGGACAGTTTGGATCAAGTAGTTGGGTTGGGAGGGGGAATCTGGTGTCCTCTAACTCCTAGACTATAATATTAATGACAGTAATGATAACAGTCACTTGTCTAGACACACTTCCTCTCAGGTAGCCTCCAGGCACAGCAGGACAATGGATGCCTGGAAGTCTCCCCACACTACTCATGGAGGCCTGTGTGATCATTCTGAGGATGGTCAGTGAGAAAGCATGGGCATCCTGAGGAAGAACTGGCCTCCTGCCACTCCTACCCACCCTGGAACTTTTGTGGCTCACCTGCGCCTGACAAGAAGCACACCCGACTGGGATTAGAGCTGGGCTGAGTCAGGCTGTAGAATGTGCTAATGAATGCCAAGATTGGGGATGGGCCATCTCAGATTGGGCCACAGCACCCACTGGCATACACAAGACCCAGGGCTGACAGTGGCCTCTTAGGTGAACTTTGGGAATTCCCTTTCTGGGCTGCTACTTCCATGAGAGCTAGGACTGGTGGCAAGCTTGTCTTGGGGTGGGCCAGCCTACCGTACCTGCTGGTAAGTGCCAGGGCTGGGTACAAGTCATGTCAGGCTGGACCATCTTACCACCTTGCAGGCTCAAGATCATGGCTGGGAATGGGCCTGTTGAGGAAACTCCCCAGCTGGACTGCAGCTCCTACTGGCGAGCATGAAAGACAGGGCTGGGGATGGGTCAAGTCGGCAGCACCCATTGGCATACATGTGAACCTGGTTTGGGGGTAGATTGGGCTCAGCTTAACTGCAGGAGAGCCAGATGATGAGATATAGGATAGACTGGGCTAGACTGCAACACATACTGCCATATATGAAAACCAGGGCTGGGGGTAGGCCTGGTGGGGCTTATTGCAGGTTGCTCTGACTAGGCCACAATACCTGCAGGTGTTCATGAAGACCAGTGCTTGTGGCAAGCTGGGCTGGCCTAGGCTGCAGCTCCCATCAGTTCATGTGAGACATGCAGGTAGAACTGACCAGGCATCTGCACCTACCAGTATGTATGTCGGTTGATGCAGGTAACAGACTGAACCTTACCCTGCTCTAGCAGAGTACCCAAGAGTCAAGGCTGAGGTCACCCCAGGTGAGGTTTCTTGGGGACAACCAGATGGTCACACTCAAACCCTGGCCACGTGGAAAATCAGTACTTGTGGTACGACCTTGGAGTACATGCATTGGGGCTGGGCCTTCTCAGTTGCTGGTGCCAGTGCAGTGCACAGCATGCCCAGATGCACACTGGGGCCATGCCCAGGCTTACATCTCTTCTCTTAGGGCCAGGGGGGCAGGATGCTGGAGCCATGCAGGTGCAGACACAGGGCGGAGTCTTGGGTCTTTTGCTCATCCTTCTCTTCCCCTCCCCTTTCCTGCCCGGAAACGAGTGACTTTGTTACCGCCAGTGTTGGGGATGCTGAGCTGTGGAGGTCAGGTGCAGGGAGGGGTGGGAGGAAGGGGGCTGGTGGTAGCTGTCTGGCCATGAGGCAGGCTGACCTTCAGAGGCACAGGGCAGTGTGCTTGCGGTCTGGTTGCCCACAGCAGCAGTCATGAACAAAGGAGATTACAACTGCACAGATCTGCTAGCGCTGGGTAAGCTGGGCGGGGCGGGGGCCCTGGGGGAGTGGTCATGTGGGGCCCGCAGCCCACCAGCTGGGCCCTGGTCCTCAGGCAGGGCAGTCACATCCCTATCTTCTCTCATTTGCAGGAATCCCCTCCTTATGCCAGGCCTGGGGCCTCTGGGCCCTCTTCGGGGTTGCCCTGCTGCTGTTTCTTATCTCACTGGCTACACTCTTGTTCCACTGGACCAGTGGCAGGATCAACAGCAGGCGTCAGGGGCAGGCAGTGTGAGTGGGGGCAGCAGGGATGGGCTGACCAAGAGTTTTCGCTCGCCTATTAGTCCCCCACTTAGGCCCTGAACTCTTATATTGCAGCTCAGGAGCGTCGGTGGAGGAGGTTCCCTTGTATGGGAACCTGCACTACCTACAGACAGGTAGGGAGGTTGCTGGCACAGGGAGGTGTGGGGGGGTTCCCACAGGTGGGGGTGGGACAAGCAGACCTGATTCTGTTTTCCTGCACCAGGACGGCTGTCTCAAGAATCAAGGCCAGAACAGCAGGATCCACCCACTGGAGGGCCTACTAGGGTGAGTCAGTTGTGGCCAGAGGGAAGAGGGAGGGGAAAGGAAATGTTGGGGGTGCTTTACTGGGGGGGGGTCCAGTGAACCTGCTGAGTCTTGCCCTTTCAGGCTGCAGATGAGCCCACCTGCTATAGTAGCCTGCAGCTGCGGCCTCCACATGGCCGGACCCCCAGCCCTGGGACCCCCATCAAGTACTCGGAGGTGGTGCTGGACTCGGAGCCAAAGCCTCCGGACCCTGAGCTGGAGCTCTATGCCTCGGTGTGTGCACAGACCCGCAGGGCCAGGGCTTCGTTCCCCGATGAAGCCTACGCCAACAGCCAGCCTGCAGCCAGCTGAGGTGACAGCCCGTGGCGCCGCCTGCCCATCACGGGGGCTGCTGCCTCTTCCCTCTGTCCACCCTGTGTTGGGAGTAACACTTACCTGTCAGCCGGCCCCCACACATGGGGAACCACACAGGCAACATGTCAGGGGGACAGGCAGGTGCCAGTTTCCTGAGGAAGGGGGAGGGGCAGCAAAGGCAGTGGTCCCCTTCATACCGCCACACCTGTTTCTGGAGGCCCCCCAACTTCTCTCTTCCCCTCATTTCCCGGGTTTCTTTAGAACCCACCCCCACCACAGGCACAGGAAATGGGGTGGGGGGAGGTGAGAGCTGCACAGGATGTGTGGGAGGGTGTCGTTCACGGCAGCCTGTGGGCTGCAGGGGTCCTGGGACCCCGATGGCTGGGGGCTCAGCAGCCCAACTCATGCCCCAGGAACTGGACAGAATATAGGTCTCCACCCTGGCATTGCTATTGTGTCCTCAAATTTGCAAATAAAACTTGTCAAACAGTGTCTGGATTTTACTCAGGGGACCTGCGACAGGTTCACAGGGTGGAGGGTGGGGTGAAGGGTGGGGTGGAGGGGGAGCCTGGGCCTCTGCACAGGACGCGTTGGAGGTTCCCAGCTAGGGAGGAGGGGCTGGGGGGCCCACACTGGAAGCTGAGCCCACTTGCTGCCCTCACTTGCTGCTGCCAGGATGTCACTCAGAGCCACCATCCCCTGGGGGGAATCTGTGAATGCCCCAGCCTCGCCCCCAATGACTCCCTCTGTGATCTCCAATACTAGGCTGCCCCCCTCACCAGTCTGCCAGTTAGCCCCTCCTTAGTTCCCCCATTCATCCTTCCCGACTCTCGAGAGTTCCACGTGAACTCCAGTTGGCATCTTTACTCGTCATCCCTAAACCTCCATTGCCCTCTGGCTGCCTGTCGGCATGGCAACAGTCTACTCCTCTGCTTCTCAGTGGTCACCCGAGTCCCCACCCAATCTGCCCTGTGTGTCCACCTGCTGCTTACTTGAGCTTCCCCCAGCTTCCTCCTCCGCACAGGCAGGTTGGCAGGGAAATTAGAACCATGGACTTGGGAGCCACATTGCCCACGTTCAAATTCCTTGTATTTCTAACTTACCAGCAAGTGGACCTTGGCTTCTCAGCCTGTAGCATGGGACAGAAGTGCAGAAAAGACCGTTGTGTTTCAAGACGAATTCTATGTAAAACATCTAGAAAACAGTGAATGTATAATCATGCAAACTAGTTTTGTTTTGCTTACTACTTACTTATTTGACAGGCAGAGAGAGAGGGAGAGAAGAAGAGAGCCTCCATCCTCTGGCCCATTTACCAGTGTCTGCATCAACCAGGGCTGGGCCAGACTGAGGTCAGGAGCCAGAAGCTCCACATGGGTCTGCCACATGGGTGCGGGAACCAAGTACTTGGGCCATCATCGCTACCTGTCAAACAAATTAGCAAGGAGCTGGAGCAGAGGGAGAGGTGAGAGGTTCATGTTGTGGTCTAGGATGTTAAGCCACCTGTCAGCAATCCACAAGGGCATCAGTTCGATTCCCTGCTGCTCCAACTCGAATCCAGCTCCCTGCTAATTAATGTGCCTGGGAAAGCAGTGGAAGGCAGCTCCAGTGCTTGGGTGCCTGTCCTCATGTGGGATATCTGGACGATGCCCCTGAGTTTAGCCTGGTCCAGCCCCAGCTGCTGTGGCCCTCTGGGGAGTGAATCAGCAGCTGAAGATTACCCGTGTGTGTGTGTGTGTGTGTCTTCTGTAACTTTGCCTTCCAAATGAATACATAAATCTTTTTCAAAAAAAGCAGAGGTGGGACTCCACATCACTATGGTTACCCGACAGGGGCTCACAGTGAAGTGACATGTAAGTGGGAACATGCCACTTGGTACAAGTCTGGCTGAACTGAAGGGCGTAGATAGAGACATTTCAGAAGTACCAAGGAGCAAAGTCAAGACTGCCCTGGAGGTGCCGACAAGTGTGATGAGGGTGATGGACATGGTAAGATGAGGCATGGGCGTGGCCAGAAGCCGGCACACACTGGGCACAAAAGCCACTCCAAGGGACCAGTGCTGTGGTGCAGCGCGATAAGCTGCCATCTGCAATGCCTTATAAGACTGCTGGTTCGAGTCCTGGCTGCTGCACTTCCGATTTGGCACCCTGCGAGGGCACCTGGGGAAGCAGCAGAGGATGGCCCAACTGCTTGAGTCCTTGCCACCCACATGAGTGATCTGGATGAAGCTTCTGACTCCTGGCTGTGGGATGGCCCAGCTCTGGCCCAAACAGCCGCACCAAGCAGTTTGATCTGGAGGCGAGTGAAGGGGAGCCACTTGTTTTCAAGCAAGGCATGCACTCACTGAGGCATGGCTCCAGCTTTCATTGGCTGCCTGCGCGCACAGTCTCCTCCCACCCTTCCTGCCCCGGCTCCCACCTCGTCCCCACCTGGTCGATCCTTTACCCGTTATTTCCCTTTGAGTCTGCGCACTAGCCCATCTCGCCCTGGAGCCTCTGTGGAAAAATGCAGGCCAGCGGGTGGAGCTTTCTGAGGTTGGAGGAGAAAAGCAGAAGCTGAGGTTTTTCACATCCGAGCCTCTCTCCTTCCCACTCGGGAGTCCAGAGAAAACCCCCGGAGCAGGCACCCCTGCACCTGACGAGAAGGGGAGCCCCCCACCCCCTTCTCCGAAGGACCCAGATGCGCGTGGAGTCCCTAGATTTCTGAGGACTCCAACCTAGGCCTCCCTCGTGGCTCAGGGCAGGCTGCTGGCGGGTTTGTGTGGCAGGAAGGGTGGCTTTGGGGCGGACACCGGATGCGGGGAACCACCGGCAGCGGGATGTGGGTTTCCTAGGCCTGCTGAAGACGTCTCAGTGTGCGTGCACCAGGAGGTGAGCACTTGACCCTGGAAATGGCGGGGGGCTGCAGTCCCACCAACTCACTGGGACGCGCCTGCCAGCAGGAGAGCTCAGACATTCCCCGGCCCAGCCACCCACCTATCCTAAACCTTAGCCCTCCGTCTCTATCCCAGCGCGGGCTCCCTGGCTCCCCCGCCTGGTGGGACGCGGCGGCGCCCCATCTCCACGCAGGCGTCTTGCTGTCTGGTGCGGTGGAGCATCCTGGGAGTTGTAGTCCGGGCTGCTCGGGGTTGTGCGGAGCTCAGGTCGGGCAGGTGGCCCGTAGTCGTCCTTCAGGTTTGCTGGCCTTGTAGCAGGCTCATGGCATCTGAAGCTGGGTGTTATGACTGCTTCCAAATAGCCGTTTGTAAACAAGTTCCGGTTAAACGATTTTATGTTCATGTGTGACTGCACTTTAGGCAATTTCCTAATTAAGCAAGCACCAAGTTGTGGGCGGCTGGATCCTCCTCAGCCACGCTCCCTCTCTGGCCAGCGACTGATCTATGGCTTGCAACTTTCTTTGCGTCTCTAGTACCACAGTCCAGGAGTTCCCAGGTGCAGAGTCCCAGCTTGGGAGGATAGAGAAACTAACGCCCGCTAGAAGAAGGGTCGTCGAGGTGTTACTTCTGGATGGCGAGTACCTCTAGCCCTACTGGGCAGATGGTCAAGATGTGTTTAGGTTCCAAGGTGGTGTTGGCCAGTGGAAGGGAGACAGAGCTGGGTGGGCAGAGACCAAGCCTTAATTTTCATGTGAGACCGTGGATCCCTGAGCTAGATCTGCTTCCGGAGTGTCTCAGTTATGTAAGCTGGTAAATTCCCTTTCTGCACTAGTCAGAATTGGGTTTCGTCTCTCCCACTGCCTCGAGTGATGACTAACTCTGCTGGGAAACACAGCAGCAGGGTCAGCTGGGATGCTGCGCCTCGGGGATCTTCCCATGTCGCTCATTTCTCCCACGAGCCATCCTCATCTGACTTCAGTCTGCTCTCACGTCACTTGACCCTAAGATACTTTTCTGGGCTAAGCTTTAAAATTTTTTTTTAAAAATACTTTCTTTTTTTAATTGAAAAAGCAGATATACCAGGAGTGTATCTGCTGGAGCTGAGCCAATCCAAAGCCAGGAGCCAGGAGCTTCTTCCAGGTCTCCTGAGTGGGTACAGGGTCCCAAGGCTTTGGGCCATCCTCTGCTGCTTTCCCAGGCCACAGGCAGGGAGCTGGATGGGAAGTGGGGCAGCAGGACATGGCACCCACATGAGATCCCGGCAGATGCTGGGTGAGTATTCAGCCACTAGGCTACCGTGCTGGGCCCTGCCTTGTACAGTCCTAGAGTACACAGTGAAAGGAGGCTACCACATCTGACCCAAGCTCTCCCTCATGGTGGGAATCACTTTTCCTGAACACTTTCAGGCACTGAGGCCTCTCTATGTTACCAAGCGTTCATTTCCCATCTTTTTAAAAATTTGAGGCCAGGTAATGTAGCCTAGTGTCTAAAGTCCTCGCCTTGAATGTGCCAAGATCCCCTATGTCCTGGTTCATGTCCTGGTTGCTCCACTTCTATCTAGCTTGTGGCCTGGGGAAGCAGTCGAGGACGGCCCAAAGCCTTAGGATCTTGCACCCAGGTGGGGGGCCTGGAAGAAGCTCCTGGCTTCTGGCTTCGGATCAGCTTAGCTCTGACCGTTGCGGCCACCTGAGGAGTGAAACAGTGGATGGAAGATCTTTCTCTCTGTCTTTCTTTCTCTCTGTAAATCTGAATTTCCAATAAAAATAAATAAATCTTAAAAAAAAATTTTTGGAAATGGCCCATGCTGTGGCATAGCAGGTAAAAGCTGCTGCCTGCAGTGCAGTCATCCACATGGGCACCTGTAAGAGTCCTGGCTGCTCCGTTTCCCATCCGGCTCCCTGCTAACGCACCTGGGAAGCAGCAGAGGATGACTCAGGTCCTTGGGCTCCTGCACCCACGTGGGAGACGTGGGAGAAGCTCCTGGTTTTGGATTGGCTCAGTTTTGGCCATTGTGGGCATTTGGGGAGTGAGCCAGCAAATGGAAGATCTTTCTCTCTGCCTCTCTTTCTCTCATAGATTAGCCTCTCCGATAAAAATAAATACAATGTCCAAAATGTCCTAAAAGAAACAAAACAAACTGGAAACAAACCCTGTCTTTCTACCTCTTGACCTACTGCTAGGTTTTCTGCCTGGTGCATGGAACAACCTGGTGGAACTGAGAGCCGACCTTGCTGGATGGCTTGAGGCTTCTTTTCTGTTGCCAAAAAGAGGTTGCTGCCATTGTTCGGAGGTGTTTCCGCAGCCCACATTTGCAGTGTTTTGCTCCGTCAGAGTCCCTCTTAGAGTGTGGTACTCAGAGAGCCCACTGTGGCCTGCCGGTGTAGACACTGTGGTCCACACTGGAGTGCCTGGGTTCAACTCCCACCTCCAGTTCCTGATTCCAGCTTCCTGCTAGTGTAAACCCGGGGAAGCTCCTGCCCCCCAAGTGGGTGACACAGATGGGGTTCTTGTCTGTGTCAGGGAAGTGAATCAGCAGAGGGGAGCACATGTTTTCTCTGTCAGGGCTACTCAAACTGAAAGAAATGGGCCTGGAGCAATGGTTTGATTGGCTAATCCTC